ATGGGTAATTATAAAATACACAATATAATAATTTATTTGCTAAAAATGAACATTTATATTGTATAATATGTGTAAATATTAATTGATGATAATCTGGTTAGTTTAGAAGATAAAAAAATTAATATATTTTGTCAATCATATATTGTTAAAAAATATCCATTTTAGTAAGAATTAATAAAGTAATAAATCATTCATCATGTTTTAATAATAAAATTGGAATAACATGTCAAAGATTAATGATTTCGGTTTTTGAAAATATGATATATACTTTTTTGTTAGTAAAAATAGAAAATATTAAACTACAATGTTCAGTGAATAAACACATATTTTATTCACAAACGGCATACAGAAAAAATGTGTTGTAACAACAACAAAACTAAAAATTGTAACACATAGTTAGAGATTGTTATTTATTCTATTGTTCAATTGCATTTTACTCATTTTGTATTATTTAAATACTATTAGTTATGTAAATGTAATCTATTATACAATCATAGTCAGTCAAACATTGTAATATTGAAAATAAAATAAAAATTATGAATAAATATTCAAAATTAATTTGATTGTGAAGACTTGTTTATCCAATACCCTTTAAACGTAAATTAAACAACCTATAACACTAAAATAAACTAACCTAATAACTAAACTATAATGACCAAAATTATATTTATGAATGATTTTAGAGTCCAAAAATGATTTTAATTTCTTAAAAGTTGCAATGTTTCATAGCATAATATACTACATATTATGCAACTAATAATTTAAACAATTGAGAGAAATAAGAAGCATTTAAATTTATTTGTTTATGATTTCTGATCTAGCCAAATTCATGATGAAAATAACCATTATATATATTATTAAAAATTAAAAATTAAGACTTAAATTAATACAATCATAAACATAATTTTGATTTATAAAACATTAAATTAAGCATTTAAACATATTGTCATAGCTAAATTGTATGATAATTGATATACATAATAAACATGTATTTAAAATAATACTGAATAGGTTTTGATCGAATTATAACTACTAATATCCTGAACTTAGTCGATTATTTAAATATTTAATTAGAATACTACTTATTTCTACAGGGTACAACCAAAGATTAAAACTGTAATATTTTATTATACCTTATTAAATCTAATGTGTCACACAATTTAATACAATATGATTTTTCGACTGTCACCAAAAGCTAAAAACAATGTTTTCTTTGCAATAAAACAAAGAAAAAAAACTATTGTATAGTACTTTTAGTTTTTTTTTTTTAAGTAGAGATTTTTCTTCTTAAATATAAATTGSCACAAAAATATTATATTAAGCTAATAATAGTAATGCATTTATAAAATATTTATATTACCAATTACATAAGATATCAGATATTTTTCATAAATAATGATTAATACATTCATCATTAATATTGATTATTATTCTAAGGAAGTCTAAATATCTGGGTTATACCATGATTACTTTAACCTTCAACACTTAAGCCACTGACCCATAACAAATAATATCTATTTCAATAAAGAAAAGAATATTAAAATATATATTACTAATTAAGTATGGAAAAACTTACAGAACGCAACAATAACACCATTTTTTCTAATTTTCATTTATAGGCTATACTAGGTTCATAATTACTTCACAGTGATTAAAACACTTAAATTCACATGCTAAGAAAACTCCAAATAAAAATACCACCCACTTACAACATTTAACATTTTTATAGGCGAAATACGCATTTCTGAAGCACCACATAATTGGTTCCTTAATAATTATTAAAAGCATACAAATTAATTAATTAAATACTTGTTAACTTGTATTATAACACGTGAAAAGAATTTTATTAGTTGTAAACCAATAGTTATCAAAAAAGTTGTAAATATTTATTTAGATAAGAATAATACAATTAGGAATTTTGATTGACTTTTTTTTTATTTAAAAGAGAAATATACAATATCCACAAATGGAACAGTAAGGTAAGCAAAGATTTTAAATAAATTACCTAATTAAGAAGTCACCCAATGATCGATAGTACAACTTGGAGGTAGGATTAATAATTTAGACCAATTTTTATATTAAAATAATTTTATTRGAAGATTCATTTTAACAAAAAGCACGGTCTAGTGGCTGATGTTCTAGTAGTCTAGTGTATAGTAAGTTACAGGTGAATCAATTTAGAATAGATAGTGTTAAATTTAGGTTTAATGATTTGTCATTGTATACAAAAACGATTGTGAGCGAAGACTGTTTGTCAGTCTAGGATATTTTATCCTATGATAAACTTATGAAGAATTTTGTATCTAAGTTTCAACTATCTTCAACTTTGAAAGTGGTTTTAGATAGAAAATTGTTGGTATTTTTTAGAAYTTTTAGCCASCAACAGTTCATAAGCAATTTGATTTTGTCAAAATTTTGTGATCCAAAAATAAATTTATAACTGTAGACTTGAAATATTCACAAAATATGTATACAAGGTTTTTACTTTTTTGTACACAATGAATTATTGTTGAATTCATATTAACCATAACAACTATACCACATCATCTTTCCCTATAGTTAATTTGCTTAAAACACAAAGTTTAGAAGATATTAAGAAGTTACATAAAAAGAAATAAAATAGCTTTATTTTTTTRAATGCATAATAATTGATTTGTATATGTAGTTCTTAATATAATTACAAGAAAAGTTTATTGTTTCATTAACGTGAATAGATATGTAGTGACTGGTTAATATATATA